TGCCTGGGATCTCTCTAAAACCAATCTTTTCCTGGCAACATCTGTCCCAGCACCGCGTTGCCGTGTTTGTGTCATGGTGGGAGAAATAAAAGGAAAATAAGAAAGGAGAAATAGTTACCACCCAGCACTGGGGCATAAACTATCCAGCCTGTGATATTTATTAAATGCCATTGAAAACTGCCTAAAGCTTTGGTAAGGCCTATGAGTTCAATATTCACTTTCTTTAAATAAAAAACAAACCCAAGAGCTAGGATTACAGTTCTTCCTCCTTTTCCTCCAGCAAGGTAAAAGATGCTAATGTAAAAAGGCAGAACAAATGGGCTCTTTATTTTTGCAGGACAAAGAGCGTTTGAACTCCATCAGTGGCTCTTTGACTGCCTTCAAAGCTTGTCTCTGACTAAATTAAAGCCTCTGCTTGCTTCTGATTTGTAGTACACTGTAGGCTTTCCATTGCACTAGCGGCTAGATGCATGTAATAGATTAATTGCTACCTTACAATAATACAGCTAATGAAAAAAAATCAGAATTAAGATTTAAGAAGGGCTATGTCCTCACTCGATGAAAAGTAGTGTAGCTCCCCTAAGATCAATTTTTATTATGCCACTTTACAGTGGCTCAGAATCTGCCCCCTAATTCAATGAGCTACTTCAGAGAGAAAAGTCCTAACCTTATCCTGTATAACCAGGGTAGCACATTTTGAGGTCACTGATAACGTGAAATAGTTTAACTGGAATTAAAGTGATTTTGTGAAGTTAGAAAAGCACAACTTTAGCAGATGAACAAGCAAAATTGGCCACAAAGTAGGAGACCACTGATCCTGATTTGAATTTTAAAGGCACTCCTGTGAAGTCTGTGAGGTTACAGGAGTACAAAAACCCCCATCACAGTATTAAAGAGGAGAGCAGAAAAACATGCAATGCTTTTGCTTGGCTGTGTTCCTGATGCACTGGCATTTCATCATAACATTACAGTAACTGGTTAACACCTAAGAATTTACATATGGGGGGGTTGAGGATTTAACATTTACCATTAAAATAAAAATGTACATTTATTTCCCCTCTCCTCCCTGCAAGCTGCCTCTGCACTCCTGAGTGAGGAAGAATTGTAGCTGTTGGAAGATCCTGCTGCAGAAACAGAAAAAAAGTGACCTTTTAGGCAACCTCTTTTAGATATGAGAAGGGTGTAAACAGTGCTGCTTTAGCCCATACTCTTCCTGCACATGAGCATAAGGTGACAGCTGATAGACTGGCATTGTTCAACTAAAGCAAATGAATTTGCATTTTGGTCCTTTACACCTGAATTACACTGTCTACTCGTAATGTCATCTTCCCAGTTTTCAACCAGGTTATAATACAGCTAATAAGTTTTGAAAATGCTTTAAAATCACTCATTGATTTTCATTAAAGAAATCCAAACACCAACTTTCAAGAAACTCCCTAATGATAACTAAAACAATAACCTTGAAATGCTGTAGTGTTTTCTTTTAGGCAGTGCAGTTTACCTTGTTTTCAGTATTTAGAAAATGAGAAAATATTTCAAGGAGATGAGCCTCACTGGAGTTAATACTTCTACAGCAATACCAAGTGCTCTTGGTGATGAGAATATCCATGAAAGAATTCACAGAAAGCAGAGCTTAACATTCTTTAGGCAGAAAGCAGAGCTTAACATTCTTTAGGACTCATTGGAAATAAAGCTCAATTGCTAGAATTGGAACAATAAAGATCATAGAAGCTCCAGTATATACAGGAATGATGTGCATGTTTCTTTACCATGGGCACCTGCTAAAATCACAAACACGGGACCAAAGCAGCAAAGATTCACTGGAGGCTAAAAATCAGGAACAGAAAACCTCTACATGGACTTTATGGAGAGAAAGAACAATATGTAGTCAGACCTTAGCTAAAACCATATTTTGTAATCTCTTTTACTCATTATATTGTCATTCAAGTTATGAGTAAACAACTTATTATTCCATTCCTATCATTTAGAACTGTGCAGTTGGAAAGAGACATGAGGACAGCAGTAAGCTGGGAGACATAAGGAAGTGTATGAATCATAAATACATGAAAAAACATACATGCTTAGTGCACGCCACAAATTTGAAATAAGTTGCTTTGGCACAGCCATGAGACAAATCCTTCCTGGAGGTAGCAGAAGGGATTAGTAATTATGTAAAAAAAAAATATTAATGTCTCTCTTGACTTCAGTACCCAGCAGGCAGACACGTTTTTCCAAAAGTTTTGAGAACTCACGTGCTACCATGTAAAATACATGAACTCAACAATAAGTGGTAGGAGGGACTGACTTGCTGCTTCTTTCTACTTCCTACCCTGTTAAATTGCACACAGTGGATTATTTGTATAGGTTACATGGCTTAATTAGTGCATGAAGGTTGCAGAAACACCTGCAGGATAAGGTCCTTCTATATTTACCGTAAACTTGGATACTGGGCTAGTTATTTAATGGAAAAAAAAAAAATCCACGACTTGGCTAGCAAATAAGGTTTATTGTACTTTTACCCCTTTCAGAAATTAGGACATTTAATTATTAAAGCATAAATCCTAACCTTCTTAAATATAAATCCCATTTATCCTGTGGGATTGGGATTTCATCTGAAGGGCACGGTTTGGACATCTAGCCTTTTTTTCAGGCTCTGCAAATTACCCTGCCCCCCTTCCAGTTGTTGACCTGAAAGGCTGGGCGTCTCCTCTAGCTCCTGTGCTGTATTTGTCTTTCCAGAGGCAGGGTGCCTTGGATCCCTGAAGATGCCTTGAACAGCTGTCTGCAACTGGAACCTGTGGCCAAGCTCTGCCCATGGGGGTCTGGACACACAGCAGAGAGGGGAAAAAACTGGAAGGATGCATTGACATTTACATACAGGCTGCCTGCCCACAGAGCTTCTTAAACCACGGATAAACTATTGCTTGTCTCTGCAGCAGAGCAGACACAAATTCCCCCAAACCTCCCTGCCCAGTTCCATCTGCCCCATTCGCTTAATAGGACCTTGAAAACGTTACAAATTTTGTGTCTTACTGCTCATAAAGCACAATAAAAGAAATAGTTTCTGTCACCCAGCAACCACGGCTGAATCCTGTTTATTCCTGCAAAGAACGTTTCAATTTGCTTTCTGAAGGGAATGTGTTTTTTTTCCTAATGAGGCCAGGCTAATAATCCTGAAGGTTTATTTTTTCAGGTAAAGCACTAGAATTGTAACCAGAATGTCTTTATTAAGGTCTTTATGTTGTGGTCTTAAAAAAAAGTGGCTGTTTCTGTTGGAGAAAGACCAATACACCCACAGCCTTAAGCAGTCTGCAGTACTCTGAGCTACTAATAAACAAATAAATAGGTTGGGTTTTTTTCCCCAGTCACTTCAACATATGCAAATCCATGAAGAGCCGATCAAATAGAAGTTTCTTTGGCTTCTATAAACCCTGTACTCAAAACATTTCAAATTAAAAGGCTCTACCTCAGCTCAAATCAGCCCACACCTCCTATAAATGCGAGTAAATAAAACATGTATTTTGATCAAGATGCCAATCTTTGCTCTGATCAGTCATATTTCCTGCTGTCCAAATTGATTAATAGTCCATTTTCTGGGAAATTTGCTGCCTGAAAGTTGCAACTGACAGCGTAGAGTTTTCTGAAGGCTGATGGTTGCCAGTTCTAGAAGTTCCTACTGTTAGAGGTCATTGCACCAACATGATGGTACATTTTTCGTGACATTTTGCTACACAGCACTAAAAAAGCAGCTGTATGCACGTGAACAGGTATATAATCTTGTGTTTCTACAACTTCAAAAAAAGTTTTATCTCCTTGAGCTCTGTCATTCACAGAAGAGAGCACAATTTATCCCTGAGTGCCTCAAGCATTGCAAATTACTTCCCCCAGTTTCTAAGCAGATTCTGTGATAGATTGAAGCTTGGGCCTGTGTGTGATTGCTGCAGGCTCCTGACTGCTGTGGATTAAGGGTGCACCCAAACAATGTAAACTCACTCTAAAAATGCATCATATGTCAGGATGGAAACTTATCTCTGTGGACTCACTGGCTCTTTGCCTTGAATGCTCCACAAGTGACTGTGTGAAATATTCACCGAGGACGCAATTTCTGAGTGGTCCTACTGAAAACTGGAAAAGAACGTGCTAAAAACAAACTCTCCAGGGGTCCAAGCCCTGTTAGTTCAAGTTTCAGCTCATACTGAAGAGTGATACTAGGTTTGGGAGCCAGGTTCACACTATCCTGCAGGATTCAGCTGAAGGTTTTCCATGCAGTAAGGAGGAATACGAGGTGCCTCTTTGTCTTACAGCACACAGATAAGGTCTGTGGACTGTGGAAAATTAATAGAACGCATTTCACTTGACTTTCAGCTTCAGTTTGTTACTGAAATCCTATGAAATAAGGCTTTAGTTTCAATAACCCTTTGATGATTAATAATTTTCTACAGTTTCATGTAGTCTGCCATTAGTATATTCTGACTTACTTTCACTACAACATCGTTTAAAAGTCTCAGACAGATTAGCTTAAAAGCTGGGGCTGTGCAGCCAGATTTTCCCCAAAGAATTTAATATCTTGTTTACAATCAACAAGTGAATAAAACAGAGGAGAACTGAGAGACAATAAAAAATATTCTAGACACCTTTTCATGCATTTAAGTGTTGATCTCTCACTCGTAGGGTTATTATTTACAAGTCTTATAATAATTTTAAATGAGCTTTTAGAGGCTGAACACAGTGCTATTCATCTTCACCAGGGAAGAATAGAAATTGGTGGGGGAATTCTCTTACAGATATGATGAATTTAGCTTAAAACTAAACAGTCACGTAGGATCTCTGGAGCTGCTGGGGTGTTAGTTTGGACAGATGACAGGATGATGGATAGGGTTTTGATTCAGCACCACAGAACAGGTTTTTTTTAAGCTTGTTGCAAATAAAACCAATCAAAGATGACTCATGGTGAGAAAAGAGAAAGCAAACAGGACATATAGCTGCAAAGAACCCTCACAGAAAGCAGGATGGCATCAAAGAAGGGCTTCCTGAAAAGCATTCTAAAACAACAAGAGAAAGAGGAGGAAAAAGAAGGAATCAGCTGTCTTGACAACCGTCAAGTGGTTGAGGCTAAGAACCAAGAACTCATCCTGAGGTTTGCCTAGGAAATGAACAGGTTTTCATTAACATAAAGGAAATACAGAATGAGCATTTAGTCCAGAGCTCCAGAAGGGAAATACAACATTTGGAAACACACTGTCCATGAGCTAAAGGTGAAAGAAGAGGAAGGTGGAGAAGGCATGAGAAATAACTTAGCACACATCCGTGCACGTTTGGAGCCCTCCAGATTCCACTCGGTCTGTCTTTTCTTGGTGTTCACACGCCTGCTCCAATCAGCAAGACTGTCTGAAGTAAGTACACAGCTCTGAGAAATGCACCCTCTTCTTACTTATTTTTGCTGTAAATTCAGCAAGAAAATAAGTGCAAAACGATCCCCCTATAACAGCTTCTAGGAAAAGAATGCAGCTTCTCAGATGTTAAAGCAGTGTTTAGCAAATATTGCTATTTACAGACTGGGCTGCATTTGAAACTTTAAGATAAGTCACAATCTGGGTCTAGGATCATTGAAATGATATTTTGAAAATGTTCCTCCCACCTCTCATAATGCTCCTCTCAGTGACAGCGTTAACTGCATGCACCTAACATGGCTCGTAGTTGCCTTGTCTGTTAGCAACAAAGTAGGCATGTATAAAATATTCTAGCCTGATTTGATAAATTAGAAAACAAAGTAAAGTAGACAGGTAATTAAGAGTAATAAACCAGGTTTAATTGGTTAAGTAACCATGTAGAAATTCAGTGCCAACTGCAAAGGTATAAAATACAGCAACTTGGGTTTCAGTGTCATAAGTATCCCTGATGCTGTTAAGCCACAGTAATTTCAGATACCGTGAGGAAGGTACTATTTCATTACTATGAATGTAGAAATCATTACCACACCTCACTCTATACACTTAAATAAAATATGCAATGCAAATAACTGACATCCTGGACGTAGCAGGCAGGTGATTAAATAGCAGGTACTCAAGAATTATTGCCAACGGGGCCCAAAAGGCATTTTTATTTTCCTGCTGGCCAAGTTAATAAGTGGCCTGATGACCCCATCTCACAGCAATACACCGTTAAATTCCAATAGCAGTGATGACAAGCCTTCATAAATAAAAACATCCATTTGCAATAGCTTTCCACTAAAGAAAGAAGGGTTGAGTGAGGCACTTTGCTGGCGTGAGTACTTGCAGCTGAGGGCATTATCCTTGAACACTACTAGAGAGGTCCAACAGACTTGCACAGGCAGACACAGCCAGCACTGTCCAGGAGAAGTGGATGTTCTTAAAGCTCAGTGATCTCCTGAAGGCCATCACAGGAGATAGTAAAGTTAAAGCTGTCAAATTACATTAAATGTAACACCATTCCCTTTTGACTCTCTCAGCAGAAATAGCTGGAACAGCAGCACGGATGGGCTGGGCGTGGAAGGTGGGTAACCTGAGGAGCACGAGTGTGATGGGGAATGTAATGAGTAACTCCAAAAGTTATTGCCTCATTAACAATGCCCTACAGGAAAGAATTTTCTGTCTAATAATAGAAGGAGCACAAGCACAGATTCTCAGTATGATCTGAAGCCTGTTTAATTCAACTGCTTTGGGAGTAGGGCTCTTGATTTCTCCCTTTCTCTGTCACTTACATAATTTGGGCACTGAAGTGCTAACTCTATTATATGGTTCAACATGAAAATGGAGACTTTTTTCAAGCTTCATTAACATACTGTTGCAAAAATTGGCCTCAACTGAAGTTCAGTCATTTTCCAAGACTCACAATCTCTAGTACAATTTGCTGCTGAAAATAATAAGATGCATTTCTGAAAAGTGAAAACAAGAACACGAAATATTGTGCATGATTCAAAATGGAGAACTCAGCACAGACCACAGCTCTACAATATAATTAATCAGAACAGTACTCCTTTTGGGCACTGTGCTATATTTAACACTAGACATAGCACTGCAAATTCACTGCCATCGGTGCTTTGCCAAAAATGGGCTGAGAAAACAGTCCATACTTTGCCCAGTCAGGTCAGCAACACCTTCCAGAGATTCAAACTGTCTATCCCAAAATACTGACCTAAATTTAAAAGTCTAAGGTTACTATGAGAATAACATTTCTGCATCCTACAAAATTCTGATTTCATCTGTATTCATGGAGAACAAAGAAAACTACATTTTCTAAACCAAAGGTGATGCAAATCTCAATCTAATAAAAGAAAAACAACCAGGATTGCAAGTGATGTGCAATTTCAAACTCAGCGTCTTCTGATTACTGAACTCAAGCAAATGTTTCTGTCTTAACAAAAAAGTTTATACTTCCCTGAGCGTGCATGTCAAATGGTTTTATTTGGGTACATGTCCCATTTTTAATAAGAGAAGAAAAAGGAATCAAAAAGCAGTTTTTATTTTTCAGTGATTTTGGGTGATTGTGAGAAACCTAGAGAAGACTATAAAAATATAGAAAATATAGAAAAAATATATGCATCCTAAACAATTCAAGGCACATGTATTTATTATTCTTTTTATTCTGAAGGGGTTATTTCTGGTAACGTATCTTATTTTTCATAAATGTTTGCACTTTCCAGCAGTGAAACAATTGCACTGTCAACAGCAGAGATAAATCACTGAAAGACTGATGCTGTAACGGCCATCATGACATAATGTCTCGTATCTTAACTGATTATAATCAGCAAAACATTTATAACATCCTAGCAAAAAAGAGAATTGATAAATATAGCTGAAAGCCTTATTACCTGATGCAATGTACACCTTGAGAAGTGAATACAAATAGAGAATATTCTAATCACGGTGCAATTTACATTCTTCAATGCAAATAAGTTTTCCAGATACATTGGGACAACTAAACATCGTGCTTTAACCACGTATAATTTGGATTTAGAAAAAAATCAGACAAGAAGGTGTTACTTACTCAACAGAACTTTGCCTTATGTAAATGCACAGAGTGGCAGCTGATCAGTAACTCCTTAATTTTTACTCCTCTACAGCCTTTCATCCTTACTCCTTTCATCCTTACGGATCCTAAACAGCGGAGTCAGAGCGGGAGGGGTAGAAGTAACGAAGCCTGTACCTGGATATGCTGGTTATATTGGCACATTCCAGGCTCTTAACCCTTGGCAGCCCAACTGGGAGGTAAAATGCAGCGTTGGGAGTTTCAAAGAAAGCATTTGGAGTTAATTCACACTTGGATTAGGTAAAATGCAAACATTTTAGCTGCAAGACAGAGAGTTTAAGGCTCCATAGCTTTTGAGTGGAATAGATTTACCATGGCAATGACAGGGAACGGCTGGGCAGGAAGAGACATATCAGTGCCCACAGTGCCCAGAATGGCTCTGCATCTTGGTCTTTATCCAACACTCACAGGTTCCACAGAAGCCTCTTCTGCAAACAAGACGTACAAGCAGAGGTACCACCTCTGGGACCAGCAGAACGATCCTTTGTGCTTTAATAAGCATTGGAAAGACTTCATCTAGAGAACTGCCTCAGCCTTTGGACACCACTGACCCCAGACAGGAACTAAAAGGAGAGAGAATTGTTCAGGGAACAGCAGCAGTGACAAGAAAAAACGTGAAATAAAATGTTTAAGCAAGGAAGAGGACATAAAAGAGACCTGATAAGTAGATAACTCCTACATTTAATCCCTCCTTCACAGAAGGCAGTATCAGGAATAAGTGAAGTAAGAGGCTAATAAATAGGAAAAAATATCTAATGATAAGGATAGTTAAACACAGTCATCTCCTCTCTGGAAGTTTACAAAGATGGATGTCAACACCCACAGGGAGTGGCAGAAGTATGGTTGATCCTACTTGGCGCTGATGAACGAATCAGACAACCTCAGGGAGCCTGACTCTTGAGACTGTACTTGAAATACCTACAAACTGGGTGCCTTTGAATTAACATCCAGATGTATAAATGTCTCAATAGCACTGCAACAGACTTCAGGGATTTGATTTTGTAGTACAGTTAAGGAAGAAGGGCCATACCAAGATAGGGGTTTCTTCAGTTTTTGAGAGAAATACTTTGTGAATCTGGGTGCTGAAATTCTCGGTTGTAGACATATAAATGTATGATGGAACTTGGGACTAAGCACATATAAAAGCCTCCAAAACAAACAGGTTTGGATTACTAGGACTGTCTCAAGTTCACAGGATTCATAGGTATGTGTTAAGAGAAATCTTCAAGTTGGCATCAAAATAAAATTCTGTAATTTTTCATTATCACTTCCGCGGTAGTATTTTCTCTATTAAAATAACATCTGCTGATTAATTAAACACCTTAAAATAATCAATGTACAAAAGGATATGCTTCCAATATTGATTAAAGGTTTCTTTGAAAACCCCTCTGAGCTCTTTTATCACAGTTTGTAGAGATATGGTATTTTCTAGAACAAAACAGAGCTGCATAGAAAGTGTGAAAGTGTGACAGAAGAAAGGCACAAAATATGTAACTGTTTAGCTGGGGATGTTGAAACAAAGCATGTTCAGCAATGGAATAATGTGACAGGTAATTTACAGTGATCTGATGGAAGACGACTGGATGCCAAATAACCTGGTTTAGTCCCTTTTTTTTTTTCTTCCAGATACTTTGAGTATCTTTTTTCAAAGCTGGCTGTAATTGACACAGTAGATTAGTTACAAGATCACCTGCCAGGAATTCAAAGGGATCAATATTGATATTTAGGTTTTTAGGGCCATTCAGGAGTAACAGGCTTGATCCTCCCTCTACCATTCAAGTACAGAAAATTATGAGCCTCCATGTAGATGACAGTGAGGCTGGTAACACCTCACTTTTCCTCTTTTGGGAGAAAATTCCTTAAATAATATATATTAATTAATAAATCTCTGGGGGAAATGCAAAGACTTGAGAGGACAACATGGAAATGCTGTGGGGTCTGATCACTGAAAGCCATAGAAAGACTTTTGATGACTTCCATAAGCATTGGATTCTAATTAGAGGTATTTGTTTTTCAGTTCCCCCAACAGAATCTGTATATTTAAGTAATTGACAAAAAATGTCTTAGATCAGTCATGTCAGGTTGGTGCCTTTTCCATGTAAAGAAAACCACTTTCTAGGAAAGCAAGTCGTTAACATGATGAATGATTAAAATTTGTTACTTTTTCCATATGTATCAAAAAAGATCTAATTTTACAGAGTAATTGAGGAAAGTCCTGTATGCAATGCTACAAAAGTGTAACAAACCCACAGCCTTTCATACAACTTCTTGTCTATGAGCAGATTGTGACAAATTATGCCAGAACATAATTTAGAATATCCAGAGAACTGGAAAGTAAAATTGTTCCGTATATTTTTGTTACTCCCAGTTTTTGTAAGGGCATGGCAATTGCAGTTTAGATTTATTCTTCCATTTTATTTTATAATCTGCAATAGCTTAAATTAATTTCAAGTCAATTATAATGCAAGGAGGTTACACGGTCTGTTAAATGCTGCTCTGATAAACACCTCTACTTCTGCAATTACAGGGGCTGTTTTTCCAAGAAACACAGGGAAATGATGAAGTCTATGCGACTGAGGGATTTCTTCCCATGTAAATGTGATTCTGGAAGGTCACTACCCTGCTCCATGCTACCAACCATAAAGGCAGCTTTTATAGTTATTATCGCAGCATTCTCCATGTATCCAACACAACCTGCCAACCAAAACCTGCAAACCTACAATTATGTGGTGCAGCAACTCCAATTATTTACACAAAGATCTTCATTTGGTACAATCCTTCTCTTTCTGTCACCAATGCCCTGCTTTTACAGATGAGCCACATACAGTTCTGTTTATCTCCTGTCTTTTTACCTACAATGCATTAACTAGTTCCAGTGGCTTTGCTGAAAGCATAATGACTTTTCCTGTACTCTAGCAAAAATATATTCCCACAAATCAAGAAGAAGCAGGCTCAGACTAAGTGGTTGAGAAGATTTACATTCTATTGCTAACTCAGTTATTACTCTGCTGAAAACCCCATAGCATCAATATAATGAATCCCTCAACCTCTGCTGCTAGCACAATTTTTCTTCCCAACCTCATTGGCTCCCAACTTTCTGCTTGACCTTTTACAATCTGTGTGTGGCAGAGCTTCATTACAACCTTTTAATGATGCACAAATGGCACACAACACCAAGGTCACAGCACATCCCCAGTGAGAACTTCTCCAACACCTCCTGAACAGACAATGAGTTTTCATTTAAAGAGACAGTTCAGTGGGGAAACAAAACCTTACCATTTAGGACAAGTCTCAAAAGCTACTAGTATTAAAAAAAAAAAAAAAAAAAAGGTCATGTTGCAAAATGAGTAACTGCTCCCAAAAAAGGTTTGTTTTGTTTTGGTTTTTTTTTTAAATTGATGTCTCAAACCTTCAGTGGCTAAATGAATAAAGTGGTTTATTGAGAAAACTCAGAAAACTGTTTTTCTGTATAAAAAGATTATTCAAATCTTAAAAATATAAAAAATATACTAAGGTGTATATTTTATATTACATTTTATATTATAGCAACATGCATCCATCTAGAACACACCAGATATTTTTCTAATATCACAGCAGTCAAATGAATGTCAGATGATGGATTCTATTCCAAATAATCACCAACTTTTCCTTAACACAGTTCAATCTCTGTTCTGCAATTTTCCAAGTGGGACATAGAGATACCGATGGTTAAACCTGTTTTACAAGTATTTCAGGTTTTTGTATCGAGAGTACTATATAAATGCAAAACATCTTGCTATTCGAGCATGTGGGTTGTAAAGCACATTATATTCAGTACTGGTTAATGCTAAGTCACTGCATGCATGCATATATTGCACCACAGCTACTGGTGAAAACAGTACAAGGTTTCAAATGAATGTTCAATATTACTTTATATGCTCTTTGTATATGAAGTAATTAATGATCAAAACCATAGAATTAAATCTAAAGTTACCTACAAGGCAATGGTGACACCTTTTGACATTTTGATATTCAGTTTGTAATATCAGTTTATAATATTTCCGTTCACTGTGTGCAGGTACACGTACATGACCACTCAATGCACTTTACTTGCTCAATTCTTTTCTCTCTTACAATGGGAGAAATTAGGAATAACAAACCAGTCAGTGCAGCCAGACATACCCCTGTGCAGCTAATCTGTGAGGAGATTCAGGACCCAAACTAACCTGTATCTAACACAGTTGCAGTGTTCACAGAATCATAGAACACTTCCAGTTATGATGACCCACAACTTCTCTAGGCAACCTGTTCCACCACCATAATTATAAAAAATGTCTTTCTAATGCCCAACATAAATCTTACCTCTTTCAGTTTAAAACCATTGCGCCTTTGACTGTCAGTACTTGGCAAAAAGTCTCTGCCCATGATTCTTATAAGCTCCTTTTATATATAAAAAAGCCTCAGAAAGGTCTTCCTGGAGCCCTCTCTTCTCCAGGCAGAACAACCCAACTCTCTCAGCCTGTCTTCACAGCCCTCAGAGTTTTCCCAGTCTTCCTCTGGCCCTACTCTAACAAGTCCACATCTTTCTTGCATTGGGGGTCCCAGAACTGGATGCAGCACTCCAGGTAGAATCTCAGCAGAGCAGAGAAGAGGAGTAGAATCACCTCCTTCAACCTGTTGATTGATTAATTGAATTGATATAGATTGCATTCTACTCCCTGAATCATCACTGATACTTTCTACTCTTGGCCAAATCATTTCATCTCCTTGTACTACCATTCACTCATTTGTAAAAATTGCATAAAACTTGCTTCTCACCCATGGAAGAGTATAGTGATTGCTGTAGCCATGAAGATCTCTGCAATCCTTGGACACACAGTAATCTAAAATTGCAAAGCCATGTCTATGGTTTCAGGTATTTGACTATTATTGAAAAGGAGCCATCAGGAACCAAACACAGTCCTGATGCCAGTGCAGTTTTAGTGCTGGCATATTGCCTGGGATCTGAAACAGTGTGGAAAAAAACCCCAGGCAACAGAAACTATCCATCATGGACACTTGAACTCTGCTTCCTTTGGACAAAGACTGCCAGGGTCAAAATCTACTTCCATGACTTTCAGAGAAGTAACTAATAAATTGTTCTGGATTTACAGCAACACAAATAGCACAGCAACTGGCTGTGTTCCTTTAAACAGTTTGTACAAATACAAAGATTTGGAGATTTGGTGCGAGATTATAATGCAAGTTTTACTACCCGTGAAATAGTTTTGTAAAGCAACACATCTTAAATGCTCCCTCTTATGCACTTTAAAAAGAAAAACTGGAAAAAACCAGACAATCTCAGTGGATCAAACCAAAAATCCAAGTCAGAGCAGAGACAACCCCTCCAGAGCAGTACTTTACCCCACTGCCCCAAAATCCTCACCCAGCCTCCAGCAGTTCATAGCTCATCAACATCTTGGACTAGACTGGTGTATACAAGTCATTAATGGATTACTCTTCATTAGTTTTTCTTCTCATCTTGCTCTCTCATCCTATATTCCACAGATCTGGTTCATTTGTTCTTTACACCACAGAATTAAGTTGAAGTACTACAATTGGAATATGCATGTAAAATATATTATTTTAAAAAGAACTAAAGCTCAGTATGATGCCTGACATAGCCACTCATAAAAATTCAAGTTCAAGGCTTGATTCTGATCTTGCACTTCTATAATTGGAGTTACATCAGCACAAGATAGTCCACAATATGGAGGCAGCAGGACAACCAGTGGAGGATCTAATTTCTTCCAAAACCGGAAAAAAACACAAGCAACAAAAACCCCTCAAACAGACAAAAAAGTTCACTGTGAATTACCACTGCTTTGCAAAATGTTCTTTAAGTTCCTTGCTACAGGAACTTCCTGACTACTACAGCTATGGCTGCTAGGGAAGAAATCCAGGATTTTATTTTAGGGACTACAGCTAGACTTTCCATATGCCACTTAGACAGTAGGAGGTTCATACACACTGTACAAAGCAGTCATAGGCAGATGCCTCTATTCACTTTTTGAAACTTTTCATCTCCTTTCCCATAGTTAGAAAATTGCATTTCTCTTTCCTTATGTTTTTAAAATATACTTAGCAGCCCCCAGCTGTGCATCCCTACCCAAAACAGCAACTGGGC